ACCCGATCTTTGTAATTTTCACTGTAAGTATTCTGTTGATAATGGGTGCAAGTACTGCAAAATTTCATGTTCGTAGCTGCATAAATGGAGAAGTTATAATGAAAAATCTCATATCTGAACAATCAGTTGTATGGGAGCTATATGTTATAGTGGTCCGATTCTTCCGGTTCCGACAAATGATTAATACATTATAAAAATACACCCACCTACCAAATTTGATCCTGATATCTCGAAAACTGAGAGACTAGATTGCATACAAACAGACGGACAGACGGACAGACGGACATGGTTAAATCAACTCAGCTCGACGTTCTGATCATATAAGTGTACATTTTAATGGGTCTATCTCTTTTTGTTCTGGTGCTTACAAACATCGGACCAAAGTTATAATACCATTTCATGCTCATGAAAAGTATAAAAACACAACTCGAATGGACGTATGTTCGACTACTCACTTGTTGGTCACGAGTTCAAAACCTATGGCACGAACGCATTGTTTTCTTTTGGTTGCTGTTAACATATTTTACATTCGTAGGACATGTCGGCAAAAGTAACCATATACATAGATAGCTTAGAGAGCAAAGTTGCTAAGTCCATTTATTTGTTTTTTTTTTTTAATTTTACAGGAGAGGAAAACAATTCTTATAGCCATTTCCTTTAAGTAGATACTTATTTCGGAAATCTTTGAATACAACGGGTAAGAAGGATTCGACCTTTATTAAAAGGTTTCGTATTATTTTAATTTTGCCTGATTTTCGATGCCTCTTTTGGATTCAGAAAATTTACCTTTTGTGAGAAAAAATAAAACAAGTACCTTAATCCTTTTCGAAACAAAAAAAACATAAGCAAATCGAAACATCACCACTCTGTGATCGATGCAACAAAATTATGTTTAAGTTTGTTAAAAAATCCGTTCAAAAATTTCTAATAGGTAACATGGAAAAACCAAAAGTAACGCTGTTCTTAGTGTAAACATCTGCATTAACAGCTAAATATGTACGTATTGTTAGCGTCAGAAATAAGTTAACAGTGACGTATAGGTCTTGATTTAGTCTTGAGATTGAGCAAATCTCACGAGTTGTTACATTTTTCGACAAAACGTGTTTTTGCGCGCACCGCGTGGTGGTTCACCTTTCTTAGAAAATGCATTATCTTCAGTTTTGTATAAAGAGCAAGATTCCATTGCGAAATTGAAATTAAATAAAAACTTAAAAAAGATATATGTACTATAAAAAAAGAAGTAAAAATAACCACTCATGCTCATATATTTACACGTAGTGGCGTATGTATCGTTTACGCGCCGGAGGACCATACGCAGTCATCTATCAAGTTTACTTGCACGCCTTAATTTAAAAGCGATATTATTGAAAGTAAAAGTACTCTTTATGCACATTGTATACATATAACAATTTTAGATTGAATTTCGAGTGCACTGACACAAATGGTAAAAATGGATTTTTAGTTTCCCAAATCATCCCAAGTCATCGTTTACTCAATGTAATTGTTTTTCATTTGGTGAGACACTAACTAGTCTTATTACACTAGATTCTTTCGTTTTGACAAGAAGAACATATTCATCGTTTAATTTTAACATTTTGAAGTAACTTAAATTATTAGGATTAAAAAAAATCCTAGAATTTCAAAAATTACAAAATAGCTGCGACAGATATTCTGCATGCTGCCATTTTTTAATTTTGTGCACCTTGAAATTTCTTAGATATGTTGTATTTGATGCCAACGTCCCTCGCCTCTATGAACATTATATTTGAAAACTTCCCAACGTTGTTAAAAGAAAAACAATTATGATTTTTTCGAGTGACAATGAAATCATTAGTAATTTCGATACTTTTTCAAGAAAATTCAAGAAATTCAATACCATTTTTGGTTTTTGAGAATATTTTGCCGAGGTGGTTGCGCTTTTTCTTCCATGTAATGCATGAACACAGTATTTTTCTATGTGGAAGGGGAAATGCGCCACACTCTCGGCAAAAAATATCTCAAAAATCAACGGTAGTTTTTAAAAGACTTAAAACCTGCTGCAAAACTGCACACTCAATTTTTTCAAGAAACAGAATTGAAGAGATGAAAATTTCGATGAAGATTTTTTGAATTTTCCTGAGTTCTGTATGAAATAACAAATTTTTATTCGTATGGTTTTTAAAAGAAATTTCGTATAGAAAATATAAATTGATAAAATCGTCAAAACCTCACTCTGTTTGCTTATTTTTGACGCTCACAGTACATATATGTGCATGCATGTTCGTCTACATACATATGTACATATACAGAGTGTAATAACAATTTGTTTTATTTTATAGGCAAGCCAAATCATAATGTCTTCGTAGTCTGGAAATGCATTTCCTTATGGGCAAATTATTATCGGTTGTTTGACGGCCGCCATAACAGAGTCGCTTCACACTTGGTAGGGCGCCGCTTCGCTCCCTAGTCCACATAATATGTACTGAGCGCAGCCGTAAAAAAGTTTATTCTAAATAACTTCTCGTTAACGGTGTAAAACTGTGCGTCCCTCCATTTGCGTGAGTACTTTAAGCAGCCCAACTCCGATCGGAGGAAAAGTGCGGCCAAACACTTAACAAAAATAGAAACGCAAAATAGTTACTAACCAGTTTCTTAACTTGTGGAAGCAATGATTTTTTTGCTGTTCTCACGAACCCGCTAATATGCACAGATTGGTGTGAAAATTGCTAAGCAGTAAATAATGGAGTGAGAAACAGGCGAAGTGATTAGATATATGATTTGCGCGGTGGTTTTAATTTCATTTCAACTACTCTTTATAGCACAATTTGGCCTGATAACCTGGCAACCAAGTATTGGACTCGAAGTGTTTTCTCGCCGATTCATAAGCAGCATATCTTGATTTTTCGGTGACCTCCGTTGGTATTTAAGCCTTCTAAACGTCGCTAAAAGGTCTTAGCGTCGAAAGACCCAAGTATAGAAACATTTTCTAAAACTGACTGTGCCTTTTTAGGAGTGCCCTCAAGCCTGGCATCTCTACCGCTGAGAACACAAGTTTACAGAAATAAAAAAAAAATTGTCTCACCTGGGACATTGTTCTATAAATTCTAATGTATAATTTTCCATTGAATCCGAATGCCAAATCAGAATATAAGATAGTACTTTGAGATTTAGTAAAATTTCGGTTTTTTTTAGATCTGAAAGAAGTGCACTCACTTATTGGCAATTGTATTTGGACATAGTCGGACAATCCCAAATTTCGTTTTACATTGATAAATGCTTTCGGTGAAAACATCAAGATGAAAACATTTGTTTCTTTCAGGCTAAGAAGAAATTTCGATATTGGCCAACTGTAAAAATTCACCTTTTTTCAGACGTCAAAAAAATGGAAATTTTGCTATATCTTAGAAATTGTTCTATATGTTTATCTTTTGACTCTCTATATTCCATATTTTACTTAGGAAATGATGATCAGGTGGTACAGGTTGAATTCAAGACACCTTCTTCGATTTCAAGTAAGCGCGGTTTAAGATAAGATAAAAAAACAAAGAGTATTCACGTATCACATCACTGTTGCAGTGATACCTTAAAATAAGGTTATATGAAATACCTTGTGTGCTTTGAACTCGATATAAGTATCAGTTATGAAGTGTCACTGTCCTCAGCTCGTAGCCCTTTAATCGTTTACCGTATGCGTCATCAAAAGAATGGGTTCTGCCTCTACCAATTGCTGGGTTTATCTTGTCATTGCCTTGTCATAGCTGATAAAAAACTTTCCCAAATGCGTGGACTTCTGCACCCAAAACCATCCTCATACTATATAGTGTATAACTCAGATCATTAAATTAAACGTTGAAGGAGGCTGATATCGCCGACGTCCACATTAGGTACAGCACCACCACTGTCCCTATATTGCACTTCCACAGTTGAGGGAAATTTCATGCAGGGATCTAATACTTGTGAAAAGTGCTAAATCCACTTCAGCCGGATAATAAATCCGTGACATATAGAGTTATTCATTTCGTATTTATGGCATTCTGCAAATTAACCTCAAGTGGATAAATAACGGGGCCTAAAGAGCTTTCAAAAGCAGCAACGTCAAACTCATAGATCTACATTCCTTTAAGTGCATCGGATTGTTCTTACCTGCATTTGGTATGAACACCGGCATAAATAAATAAATGCTTGTCACAAAAATATGTATAGACAGCAATCAAAAACACCGATAAGGTAACAACGAGTCAAAATGTATGTATGTATATCCAGCTACTTTCTACATACTTACTTGTACATACTCGTACCTACCTACATGCATGCATACTTATGTATGCGGTTATGAAAAAGAATTTTTCGCTTTATGTATGTCATGAAATTTGTTATGAATTAAGTTGAAAAAGGCAAAATATTTCCGCCTTCATAAATATGTACATAAGTATGTATGTACATAGGTTGTCACCACCCCTTTGACCAGTTGTGTCACATATGCATATATTTATGTATATGGACATGAGACTTGATCGCAAGATATGTACATACATACAAACAGATGTACATATTTATATTTTTATATGCTTACACAGAGTAATTAACATTGCTGGTTTTATTGCTATTGCTTAACCCATTACGATTAACATTGAGCGCAGCTAGAATTTTGTTTTTAATAATAAAATTTATTTTTATTTTTTTTAAATAGTTGTATAATTTATGTTTTATGTAAAGTGTCAACTGGCATTTGCTTTCGGGAGAAATGATGGTTTGTCTATTTTTAGAAGACATGTTGCTCATGCGCTAATGTTTTTTGTTTGATTTGTTGGCCTTTTCAATTGTTTCGTAATTTTTACTCATTCTTGAATTTTATAATACTTAACGGGCGAGTTTCATGTGTTTGGGTTCGGCTGTTTAATAGGAGAAGGGCCTTGATGGCTTGCTGTAGTTGTAACCATCCGGTCCAAGAGATCCAGCCTCGGGACCACTAGGACCGCCAGGACCTTCTGGACCGTCCGGACCCTCAGGACCTTCTGGGCCTGTCGGACCATCCGGTCCACTTGGACCTTCTGGACCACCTGGACCCGCAGGGTAACTGGGTTCCGGCCTGGGTGCTGGGTATGTTGGCTGCGGCGCTGGTTGAGTTGGCTGTGGCGCCGGGAAAGACGGCTGAGATCCAGGATATGATGGCCTTGGTGCTGGGAATGTCGGACCTGGCGACGGTTGTGCGGGCCGCGGTGCCGGATACGTAGATTGACCAACTGGCTGTGAGGGCTGTGGTGCTGGATAAGTTGGTTGCGGCGCCGGTTGAGCTGGCTGTGGCGCCTGATACGTTGGTTGAGGTCTGGGTTGTGGTTGTGGTTGCGGTTGTGGTCGCGGCTGCGGTTGTGGTTTCGGGCGTTGAGCTGGCTGCGTTGGGCCTACTTCATTTTCACCGGGGGGTGGCAAATATTCGGGACCAGGCTTTGCAGGCGTCGATGGCTGTGGCTGTGGGCGTGGTTGATAAGTTGGTCCAGGCGAAGGTGGTTGCGGTCGCGGTTGGTATGTTGTACCAGGAGTAGATGGCTCTGGACGTGGCTGGTATGTAGGACCTGGCGCAGGGGGTTGGGGTCGTGGCTGATATGTTGTACCAGGGGTAGATGGCTGCGGGCGTGGCTGGTATGTAGGACCTGGCGAAGGTGGTTGTGGGCGCGGCTGATACGTAGGACCCGGCGCAGGTGGTTGAGGTCGTGGTTGGTATGTGGTACCTGCTGTTGGGGGG